CTTAATAGTCCTTCCGATAAGAACCCCTGACATCATGGGGCTTACATTCCTGTGGAACGACACAACAAACAAGCAAGCACGTACATCAGCACGATGATTCCTGATTCTGGAAGTGCTCCGCTAGAGACTGGGAGGCTACTTGTGAGCAAAAAGTCATAAAACCCTTTGATGATGAAGCTAAGTCAGACTTAGATTATGAGCAGAGAATGGTGCTTCAAATTTCAATTGCCTCTACTGTTGGGACAAAGCAGCCAAGTAGAGATTAAGTTCCATCCTCTCTTGTAACATCGCTTAGGAGCATAAATAGGCCTTAAATGCTGGCATTTCTCCCGGGTTCCATCATCTTTCCTCTTCACACACTGAGCGGGTTCCATGATAGCAAAGGCTTTGCTTGGTCCAACGCTGCCGCCAGCCCCAGAACAGCACTAGACACACAGTAAATGTTCAGTAAATACTGGGGGAATGAACGGTCTAATCCCCCTGAACTCAGCCTTCCTCAAATCACACCTCCCCCAGGACTCCTTATTTTCAAGCTACCTTGCAAGGAGTTGACTCTGACTCATGGAGACTTATTGTGTGTTCCAGCAGAATCGTTCTCCACAGGGCTTTCAATGGCTGCCTTTCCAGGAGTACAATGTCAGGCTTTTTTCCCAAGATGACTCTGGATAGGCTCACACAGACCCCTTCTGGCTAGCAGTGAGCACGTTAACGGTTTACCCCACCAGGGTTCTCTCCCCAACCTTGTTGTTGTTGTGTATTGTTGGGTTGGAACCAATCAGTGGCTGACCCCCTCCAGGGGGTTTTCAGAGGCGGTAAATCGCATGGGGTGAGATTTCCCATCTTTTTCCAACTGAGCAGCTGGTGGATTCAAACTGTGTACTTTTGTCCTGGCAATGGAACGCCTTACCACTAAGCCACCAGAGCTCCTCGGTCCCCTATCCTAGTGAGCATGAAAAACCACCTTTGGTTGTTGAGTGCCACTGAGTTGAACACAACTCACAGCGACCCTATAAGCAAAAGGCCTGCACCCTGTCCTGTAACTATCGCTGTTTCTTGAAGTTCATAGGTTTCCAGAGGCATGTTGTTTAGCAAGTGGATGTCACTCCTGCTTCTAAATCCATCTTAATCTGGGAGCACCATAAATCACTGTCCACTACCATGTCAGAAATCTGAGTGTCAGCTCTGACAGTTTCTCCTTCCCCTCAAAAACGCCACTGCCCTGCAGTAATTAGCCACCAAGTCCTATTCAGTCTCTTTATTACTTACTCTTGGGAATTTGGGGTTGCACTCTCTTTATCTAGTTATTTCAACGGGAGCTCTAGCGTGTTAAAGAGTTGTGCTGCTAACCCAAAGGCAAGTGGTTCAAATCCACCAGCTCCTCTGCAGGAGAAGGATGGGCAATCTCCTCCCGTGCAATTTAGTGCCTCTGAAAACCCACTGTAAAGTCAGCGATGAGTTGGTTTCCACTTGATGGTACATAACAACAGCAGTATTAACTATCCCAAAAGCTTCTTCATATACTCCCTGCTTTAGACTTGGCCTTCTCCCAACTGATACCTCATACGTCAGCCAGGTATATAAAATATCTAAAATATCAATCGGATGTCTTCCCACAGGTTGCCTTCTTAACTTCTGTGGATGGTCTCCAAGGCCTCATGTGGTTGGATGCACAGTCTCTCACCACCCTTCCTTTACATCAGACTAAACCACTCCAGTACCTGGTCTCAGTTGGCTGTTCACTAAACAGCTGAACAGGGCAGAGAGAGAGGTGCACCAGCTGCCATGGCCCACTTACTCCGCAGGGAGAGCCAGGTGTCTAGAGGCCAGATGACAGAGGAGGGGGGGTTATGGACCTCTGTTTTAAGACAGTGTAAATAGTCCCCTTTCTGTGAAGCCTTCTATGGTGAAAATGAGCACCTCTTTAGTGGACTATGAAGCCTGTTAGGACTGTCCAGATGGGCTACACATACAGTTCTTCTACAGCAAGTGGTAGTAAGGGCATCCAGGGGGCACTGGTCCAAATAGCATGGGGCAAGTCTCTCCACCGTTTCATGGCATGAGGGGCTGCACAAAGTCCTTGGGCGCTGTGACTGCGAGTAGAGATGGGGACAGCGAGGGACTCTGTGACACTTGCTCTCTGTATTTTGGATTTTCTCCTTTTGAAGGCCACCTGCCCTTCTTTATCCTAACCCAGCTGCTTTCTTATGCAGCTGCTACACAGCTCTAGGTCCTGCAGAAGGAACAAGGGATTTGGGTATCCTGTGGCAGGGGTGGGGGATGGAAACGCCTTTCAGAGGAAGGAGAAGGCAGGTACTTAGTGAAAAGTAGCGCCCTCCTGTGCCCAAGGAATAGAAGAAAGCAATTATGTGTAACGGCCACTTTGCATTAGAGAAGATTGATCTGTTTTTCTGATGTGTTGTTTCCATAGAAGCAGAGCTTAACCTTTTAAGTGAAGATTATAAAGCTACTAATTCATTTCAAATTAGGCTTCAAGCGTATCAGTACTTAATGCTCAAGTGTTACTGGGAGACTTGCTCTAGTCACTGATCTAACTGCCAGATAGGGCTTGTTGCTATCCAAGGTGTGAAGGCTCTCATTCCAGTAGCAATTAAGTTTATTTCTTTATTTTTACCAATTAATTTCATAAGGAGCTAAAACTTCATGGAGATCACCAGAGTATTAATAAATACTTTTAAATTAATGAATAACATCGATATCTCTTCATAAACACAGAAGGACTGGGACAGAAATAAACATGTTCAGTTTCAGTAATTTATTGAATTCTTCTGGAACGGACATAAGGAGAATCCTGGGAATTGATACCACAACACAATGTTATACACCATTTTCACAACTAGCCTTTTGTTGAATTTTTTTAAAAGAACATAGTAATTTTAAAAAAATCTAAATATTTACACATTAATAAAACATATATACAGAAGACTGAGACATTATCCATAGGTATGGAATCTTTTTTTATGCTAAGAAGCCTATAAAAAGGATTTCTGAATAAAGTCTTAACAGTAGTCACAGTAAGTAAACACAAATACAATTTGAATTTACAAAATATGATTTTTACTGTTGCAGGTTTATGATATGTACGTCCAACTTGTGGATCCATTGCACACGTTTGAATGATCCCTTCTGCTCCTCAAGTATTGAAAAATCCACGCAGTCACCCAGTCTTGGAAGGAAGTGGGTCTAAAGGTTCATGGAACATATTTAACAGACTCCACAGTTCTAAGATAAATGTTTCCACCTTTGCTAGCAACCTATTCATCATATTTTAATAGGGTTGAAAGGTCACTAATTAATCTTTTCTATTGCCTTGAGAAATATTTCCTCCTGGGAGGCAGAAGACAAATTTTAAAACAGATTTTGCAGAAAAACAAAAGCTCTGGTTCATAGCACTTAATTATACAATTGCTAAACAAAAGGACTGATTAGTTACTGGCCTGAAATGTAAGAGGCTAACTAAAAGGTGTGATGGAAAAACCTTTCCTGGAACATCGTTTTAACTTTAAAAAAACCAAAAAGGAGACACACATATCTGAGATGCAACTGTCTGGAAGGTAGGTTGACTCCACAGCCACAGCTAAAACCAGTTTTGTCACATTGCAAGAAAGGCTCCCAGCATCCTCATAGATGATCTTCAGCAGGACACTAACTTATCCCAGAGCTTCCCTCCTGTCTCTTGGTTTCATTCTGGCCTTGGCTAGGGAAGTAAGGAAATAAGGCTCGAGGCCTGGCTGGGTACTGACAGTTAATTGCTCTGTGCACCCACTTAGATTGACATTCCTCAGTTTCCTCACCTGCAAAATGAGGGGTGGAATGATCTCAAAATTATTTTTTCAGTAACTTTTAGCTCTATAATTCTAAGAGGATAAATGAATGGTGAGGTCTAGTAAGGGAACAGTCTACAATTTGATAAAGGGAAAGACATTAGACTGTCCAAAAAGCTAGGGTTCCCTCTGGGATTTGGTGGAACTTTCTAGTCAAATCTTTTTTCATGGCAATTTTTGGGTTCTGGGTCAAGTGTCAAAGATCTAAGGCTATATAAATGCAATGTTTCCAAATATAGTGGTATGTTAATTACACAATTTTATTGAAGAAAGGAACGTAGAGGTAACCTTTTTCTCTTAAAAAAATTCAGCGTAAATGGGTTTTATATAAAAAGTAAGGGGCAAGTGTACCAGAAATCAAATGAGTATATAAAAGTATTTAATAACATTTGGGGCTGGTTGCTACAATGTCAAAACACTAGGCCAGCAACTCAGTAAATCTGCATGTTAAAATCTTTGCTAAGGTATCAGGTAGACAGATAACCAGGTGCTCTAGCTTCTCACCTTTTAATGAGTTATTTTGTCACTGTGATAACACAATCCAGACTTTACAACCAAGGGAGAGATTTATTCCCACCCCCCAACCCCCCCAAGAATTCAGATATCATTTGCACTTATTCAGTTACCAGTGATTATTTTGGGGGAAGTGATGTCATAAATTATTTCAATAGCTCAATCATCTCCTGAAGTAACTCTTTTCTCTTTTAGGCTGATAAAGGATTAATTAATTTTGGCCCTCACAGCTGTTCTCTCAGTATTGGAAAACACCACTTTCCATAATACTGCACCAAAACAATTTACACGAAAATAAATATATTTTAAAATTCCATATATTCACATTGAGGTTATGATAAAACATAGGAAAGAGAGAAGTGCTTCTTTATAATGGACAATGAGCTAACTGAATAATAAACTGGACTTTTATTAAAGGGTAATAAATCAACTCGAAAAATTATTTTAAAAAACCATATACCAAACTGGAGACTTGATTATCACATATTACTGAGAAAGTACAGTATATGAAAACTATTCAAGCATGAAGGGTAAACTTCACAGAACACCCACACTTTGCAGTAACCTGAAATGCTTACGTGGATCTTTGAGGAAATTCAAACAGAAGAGGACAGATGCTAATGAATATGTCACTCAAAACAAAGTCTAGACAGTGAAATCTGCTTCTGTGTCTTCCATGTTTTCTGTCCTGGTGTCAAACATATTACCTACAACAGAGAAAAGAAAATGAAGTGGGGAGAAAACAGCTTCTGTAAATGAAGGGTTGTAGACTTATCTTTAGCATTGCAAGAGATGAGTGTTCCTGATAAGTAAAAATTTTCATCAGTACCTCTGAGGTATTTGACTTTCATATTTAAATTACGAATTTTCTAGCAAGACTTTAGTTGTGAAAATGAGCAACTTATAAATTACTGATGTTGTTAGGTGCCATCAAGTCCAGTACAACCGGTATATAACGACCCTATGAATAGAAGATCTAAACCCTGTTCTATCCCGTGCCATCTTCATATTTTCTGACACACAGAGCCCATTGGGGCAGTCACCACATCAGTCCACATGGTCAAGGGTCTTCCTCTCCTTCACCGATCCTATAACTTTCCAAGCATCATGTCCCTCTCCAATTTATAAATTAGGAATGGGAAATGATTCTTTTTATCTAGGAAAGACCACTCTTAAGTTTATATATTAGAGTACATGTACATATTATTTAGTCATGTTAAATAGTTAAATGAAAGTGTATTTAAAAGTTAATATCATGCAACTATTCAAATAATACTTATAATATTTACAATTAAATGTAAAAGTGCTGTTTGGTAAATAAACAAAAACAACCAACAGAAAAAAAAATAAAGTAAAAGGTCCAGGAAACAAAATCTTTCATGCATCTGACCTCCATATGAATAGGAGCCAATGGTAATGAAAGAGGAAGTGGAAGCTGCACTGAAAGCATTGGCAAAAAAATAAAGCCCCAGGAATCAATGAGATGCCAATTGACTTGTTTCAATTAAGAGATGCAGCCTTGGGTATGCTCACCTGTTTATACCAGGAAATTTGGAGGACAAGTGTCTGGCCAATGCATTGGAAGAGGTCCATATTTGTTCCCACTCCCAAGAAAAGTGATCCAACAAAAGGTGCAAACTATCAAACAATTACCTTTAATATCACATGCAAGCAAAATACTGCTGAAGAGCATTCAAAAATGGCTAGAACAGTGCCTGGATAGGGAACTATCAGAAGTGTAAGCAGGATTTAGGAGAGGCCATGGCACCAGCGATAATCTTTGCTGAAGTCTGGCTGAAAGCAAAGAATACCAAAGAATGTCTATTTTGTTTTATTGACAATGCAAAGGCATTTGCATAGGGGTGTAGATCATTACAAGATGTGGCTGACACTGAGAAAAATGGGAGTTCAAGAGCACTTAATTGTGTTCATGCAAAACCTAAACCTGGCTGTTGTGTGAACAGAGCAGGGGAATACTGCATAGTTTAAAATTAAGAAGAGAGTGCATCAGAGTTGTATTATCTCTCTATACCTATTCAATCTGTATGCTGAGCAAATTATCTGAGTAGGTGGACTCTATGAAGAGGAATGTGGCATCAGGATCAGAGGAAGACTCATTAAGAACCAGCATTATTGCATTGAAAAACAAGGAACTCATGCAATATTATTCAAAATGGGTGACCCTGGAGGACATTATGCTGAGTGAAATATCTCAGTCACAAAAGGACAAATATTGCATGGTGCCACTGTTGTAAAATGGGACTGATATCAGGGTTGGGGTAAGACTGAGAAAAACTGGATAAATTGTGTATACTGCACTGAAACAGATGAGGGAGTGAATAATTTAAAAGCGATGTATGATAGTGTATTATGGTTATCACAAGAGTCGACAATTAAGGTTGCATAGTGGAATGTACTTGGGACGGCGGGAGGGGTGCGGGGGTACTGTGTACCAGGAAGGGAGTGTTTCTTATACTTTTGAAAGAGAGGAGCGAACTGGAGTGGGGGAGGGCTGGGTGGGGAGAGAAGTGCAGCAATGAATGAATGGAAATCCAAAATCTCTGTAAATGCTCATTAAAATGATTAAAAAGAAATAAAGCTTAAAAATGCTTTATGTGGCTAGTATTTGAAAAAAAGGCTTTTGTAAAGAGTACACATACAATTTAAGAAATCTATAAAAAATGCTAAACAAGAAAAAAAAAGAACCTGTGTTATGCAGATGACACACCTTGCTTACTCAAAGTGAGGGGGATTTGAAGCATTTGTTGCAGAACATCAAAGAATGCAGCCTTCAGTACGGATTGCTTCTCAATATCAAGAAAACAAAGATTCTTACCAATGGACTGATAGGCAACATCATGATGGATGGAGAAGAGATTGAAACTGTGAACAACTTCACCTTACTTGGATCCACAATTAACACCCTTGGTACCAACAGTTAGGAAATAAAGGAGAAGCACTACACTGGGTAAGTCTGCAGTTTTGGACCTTTCTGAATTACTGAAGAGAAATTATGTCAGTTTGAGGATGAAGGTGCATCTGATTGAGGCCATGGTTTTTCTGATCACTTTGTCATGCATCTGAGAGCTGGACAATGAACAGGGGTGACAGAAGAAGAACTGATGCCTTTGAACTGTGGTGTTGAAGAAGAGCATTGAACATCACATAGATGGCCAAAAGAACAAATAAAAATGTCTTGAAGACGGAGTATTCTTTGGAGGCAAGAATGATGAGGGTTTGCCTCACATACTTTGGGCACATTGCAAGGAGGGGCTATGACTTAGACAGACACGTGATGCTGGAAAGGTGCAGAGTAGATGAAGAAGACCCTTGGTCAGGTGGATTGTCACAGTGACTGTCCCAATGGGCTCTAATGTGTCAAGAAATGTGAAGATGGCACAGGATGGGACAAGGTTCAGATCTGCTGTTCAAAGGGTCTCAATGACTCAACAGCACCTAACCATCTAAATAAATAAAATAAAGTCAGGAGAATACAACAATAAAAGTTATTTCTGGAGAGCAAGTCAAAATTTCATCCTTAATTTTAATTTAAAAAATAATATTCAGGTTTTGGTGAACATCTGCATAGCAAGCAGGGCTTTTTTTTCATAATTTCTGAACAAGTTGTTCCATGACAGTTAAATTTATCACAGTGTGACAATATTCTATTTAAGTGTGTTTTATTTGTGGTATTCTGGTTTCCCTGACCTTTACCTTCTCATCTTTGCTTTGAATAGCTGAAAGTTTCATATAAATGGCTTTAAAGTTAAGCATCAACCTTGCATGTACTATCCTTTATTTTATGTGCTACTGTTATTTAGTTAACAGTGATCTCAGGAAGTCCTCTGTTTTTTATTGTTCTAGTTTGTAGGGCTTTCTCTTTTTTAATATAAAGAATTTGAATTCTGTTCCATTGCTGCCTCCCATGCTATGCAGACACCATCTATTATGACCTTGGTCAGAAAGGTGGTGGTAGTTGGGCACCATCTAGTTCTGGGCTCACCATAGAAGAAGTGTGGCTCATGTAGACTTGCCTTTCCCCGCATTTTTTTTATTAGCTTTTATGGTTCTGCTCCTGGTAAGTGGGGATTAGTAATTATGTCATGGATGGTCAGTTGCAAACTTTTTTTTTTTTTAGTTGCAAACTTTTATGACTCCAGACACGACTCATTTCACTAGATGCAGATCATGATTTCTTTTTTAATTTTTTTAAAATTTTATTATTTTCTGTGTGAGTGTACCGTCAAATCAGATCTGACTGGTACAGGAAGAGATTGTCCCTCCTTCCCCGGCAGAGCATCTGGTGGATTTGAACTGTGCGCCTCTGGGATTGTAGTTGCAGCTCCTTACCACTAGGCCACCAGAGCTCCCCTGCAGATCATGATTTTTAACATCCCATGGTTGGCCAAGAGAACAAACAGATATGTCTTGGAAAGTGTGCAGCTGGAGTGCTGTCTGGAGGCAAGAATGATGAGCTTTTTTCCTCACATACTTTGGGCACTTTGCTAGGAGAGGCTATTCTTTGGAGTAGGACATGATGCTAGGAAGGGTGGAGGGTCAGTGAAGGAGATGAAGATCCCCAACCAGGTGAACTAACAGTGACTGCTGCCATGGGCTCTTGTGTATCAGGAAGTGTGAGGATGGCAAAGGATAGAGAGGGGTTCAGATCTTTTGTTTATAGAGTCACTATGAGTCATATTCAACTTGTAAGTACCTAATATCAACAACAACATGTTGTATCGAAGACTTGAGTAGTTTCATGAAATTATGGTCATTAGCTTTCAAATCCAGAGGACTAATCTTGGCTCTATCTGAAGATTATCTGTATTAGTGTCTTAAATGACTATATGAGCTTATATATAAACATTTATATTTATGCAAAAAATTGAAAACATTTAAAGCACTCTTGATGAAACGCAACATAAACAAAAAACTTCACAACTGGATCTATAAACAACATCACAATAAATAGAGAAAAGTTTACACTGTCAACTCTTTCATTTTACTTGTATCCATAATGAACACCCACAGAAACAGCTGTCAAGAAAATCAAACAACATAGGGCATTGGGCAAGTCGGCTACCAATGATCTCTTTAAAGTGTTAGGGATATCATCTCACCCCCATAAGAATAGCAAAATTTAACAGAACAGTAAACATCAAATGCTGGTGAGTTTAGACATGTTTAGGCATAGTTTGGACATGTTGCAAGGAGGGACCAGTCCTTGGAGAGGGACATCATACTTGGGAGGGTGGAGGACAGAGCAGGAGAGGAAGATCCTCAATGAGATGGATTGACTCGGTGAATGGGGTAATGCGGGTAGGTGTGCCAAAGACACTAAGAAACTGGAACCTTTATTTACTGTTGGTGGGAGTCTAAAATGGTGCAACCACTATGGAAGGCAGTATGGCACTTTCTCAAAAAGTTGCAAATAGAAATATCATTTGACCCAGCAATTCCACTACTTGGAATTTATCCCAAAGAAGCCATAAGCGCCACCCAAGCAGACACATGCACACCAATGTTTTTTGTGGCTTTGTTCGTAATAGCAAAGAGCTGGAAACAACCCAAGTGCCCATCAACAACAAATGAATTAGAGAAACTCTGGTATATTCACACCATGGAATACTATGCAGCATTGAAAAACAAGGAAGTCATGAAATATGCAAAATGGATGATCCTGGAGGATATTACGCTGTGTGAAATA